GCTTAATCATGCTGGCCACATGACCCGGAAGGTGTATGCCGGCTCCCTTGGCCAATAAAGCGAGATGAGCGCCGCAACCCCAGAGTCGGCCACGACTGGACCTAATGGTCAGGGGTCCCTTTACCTTTTCTTAACATAGGTCCATTTGTTTTACATGGGTTTCATGCTGAGCTGGACTTAATTAGGCACAATCCTCTGTTTCCCTTTTGCCGTATTTTCAGGCTCAGTCCTGCCTGCTGTTACAGTCCTTTCTGCCTCCCCACAAACTGGTGTTATGTGTTCAAGGCACTGATTTGGAAAAAAAAAGCAGACATATGGTTTCCCCACCCCAAAAATTTTCTGCATTGCATGCGACCAGTATGGCACCTCTTGTTTCCCTTTCAAGATCACAGACAACGGCACAGGTGTGAGTCACTGGGGCACATTTCGTTCAAATAACAAGCTTACCTGTGCATCATGCCCCCCATATAAAAGCACACTCATCTATACAAACAATTGCATATCTAGTCTAAGATGTTCCTCATGCACAGCTTACACAACGTAAGCCTCCTCTGTTGGGGGAGCAGCGTTGTCTGACGACGATACTCATAAACACTTACAGTGGTACCTCGGGTTAAGTACTTAATTTGTTCCAGAGGTCTGTTCTTAACCTGAAACTGTTCTTAACCTGAAGCACCACTTTAGCTAATGGGGCCTCCCGCTGCCGCCGCACCGCCAGAGCCCGATTTCTGTTCTTATCCTGAAGCAAAGTTCTTAACCTGAAGCACTGTTTCTGGGTTAGCGGAGTATGTAACCTGAAGCGTATGTAACCCGAGGTACCACTGTATTCTGAATTTACTAGTCCACAACAGCCCCCCTAGTGAAAGCACAGCCGCTTTGCTGAAATGTTTTTCAAAAGCAAGCACACCTCTCTGAATTCAGATGCAAGAATGGTTCCATCAGTTACAGATGGGAGGACATCCATGCACTATAGGATCCCCAGTTCGCTTCCCGCCAACGCAATTGGCTCACGACATTTGCCATAAGCAAGTAAATTGTTCTAGCAGGTTTTCTTCAAGCTGCATGTCTTAAAAGGAGAAGAATAAGCCTACCGCTTTCAAGATTTGTTTGGCAGGGGGGAAGCTTTGGAGGGAGAGAAAGGGTTCCTTGGAGAGGAGAACTTAAATCAAATCGTGAGCTTGCCGTTTTGGTTGTTCCTTATTGTGCTCCCTGGCTGGCTTGGTAAACTTTGTCTATGTGGCGTCTTTTAAAATTAGTACAAGCCAGAGAGGGATCCAGGAAAAGCAGCGTTGCTTGACAAGCGGACAAATCCAGCGTGGAGGTCTTTCGGGGTGGAAAAAGAGCCTTGAAAACTGACCAGCACATCTGCCATAAGAACGTAAGAGGAGTTTGCAGGATCAGGCCAATGGCCTATCAAGTTCAGCATCCTATTCTCGCAGTGGCCATGCCGATGCCCCAGTGGGAAGCCTGAAAGCAAGATTTGAGTGTTGCAGCTGCCCTCTCCCCTGCCTTCAAGGGTCCACTGCCTCCGACAGATGAAGTAAAACATAACCATTGTGGGTAGTAGCCAGTAGTAGCCACAACTGTCTCGCTGAGCCTCAGTGGAGCAAGGAATTCCTGAAGAAGACTGTTACTGAGGAAGCAAGGCTTCCCTGTACAGAAGCCGTGCCAAACCTTCTTCAGCAAGGCTTGTTCTTCTGTTAAAGCCTCGAAATGCTTCCCACCTTGAGCAGAAGCAAATTCTCTTGCAGTACTGTTTCCTGTTTGATGAAAGCCTGGGACTGGGAAATCCCCTGAGCTTCTTGGCTGTGAACCCAGTATCCTCAACACATCCAAGACTGATGTATTATTTCATCCTGTTTGAAATGCTGCCAGTGATATAAAGGTCTCCTGCAATCGTTCGAATAAGAAATAAAATCTCATTTCGATTCTGGAACATAACGCAGGCTCTGGCTTTGACTAGTCCACAGGAGAATGGTATTTTTCCAAGGGAGGGGCAGTTGATAGGAACACCCATCTGCAAGCACTTGTACTAATACAGTAAACTTGCTTGTAAATAGCCACTTGCCTAGTCATCTGTGATGAGCTGGAATTTCCTCCAGGGGAGTAGGCAGGGGCTGGTTGTGTAAATTGGAAGGCACATGAGTCTTTGGTTTCAAACTGTTTGGTTACTCCACAAATGACTTACGTGTAAATAGTAAAAAAGAAAGAAAGGGAAAAAACGGTTTCTGAGTTGGTAGCTTGTGTAGACCTATTTGGAAGGCAGACCAATAATGTCCTCCTAAGGCTCCATCGTGACCTTTAAGATTGACTTAAGTGGAGCTGAGGCCAGAATTTTATTTGTTTATTTGATTTGATTTCTGTACAACCCAAGGAGCCCCAGGCAATAAACACATCCATAAAATATTTCATTTCATTTCATTATTTCTTTCTAAATTCTAAATGTTAGGCGTGAAGGACAGCGTTAACATTTATGGCCATCATTAACAAGACTAGAGTTTGCACCAGTTGCTCTGAATAAATGCATCTCGCCAGAGAGAAAAGTGTGAGTCAAGCTAATGGGTTTTTCCCCTTTACTTTTTCCTGAGAGTGGAAATAGTCTTCTGTGTTGCTTCCCTGCCATGCTTTGGATCTGAGCCTTGGGGCTGTGTGGGAAGGGGGGGAGGAGGAAAATCCTCTTTTCTCTTTGAGCCAGAAGAATTCTGCGCTCTCCTCCTTCTCCTCCTCCAAGGCCTGCTGAAGGACAGCGGATGACTTAGGGCACAATTGCGGTGCTTCAATTTTATTAGCTCCGGTTAGCAGAGCCCGGCTTGGTTTATAAATAGCAGCCCACAGTGGAGATGGCAATTCCAGAAGTGGCTGCCCGTCACATGGCAAACTTTCCTTCTGCACTTTTTGGGTGGTTGCGAGGGAAATGCTTATTCCCCGGGCCTCTCACTTTTATTATCCTGGAATGACGTTCTTTCTGTTGTATTTTTACCCCACGCCCTATTCATTCCTCTCTATATTTTCTTCTGTGAACTGCCCTGAGACCTCCGGGTATAGGGCGGTATATAAATCCAATTAATAATAATTATATGTGTGTGTATAATAGATAAGTAAAAAACACAGTGCCAGATTTAGGATGTCTCGGAGGATTTCCCTGTACAGTGGTACCTCTGGTTGCGAACGGGATCAGTTCTGGAGGCCTGTTCACAACATGAAAAGGACATAACCCACAGCAGCGTGTCTGCACATGCGCGGGTTGCGATTCTCCACTTCTGCGCATGCACGTGACATTTTGCGCGTCTGCGCATGCGTGAGCAGCGAAACGCAGAAGTAACCATTTCCAGTACTTCCGGGTCACCGCGCGATGTAACCTGAAATAACATAACATGAAGCGGACATAACATGAGGTATGACTGTACAGGGCACTTGAGCCAAAGCGCTACAAAATTGAGAAGATCCATGATAGAGAAGATCCATTTGGGGGTGACAGTTTTTCACCTCCCCCAGAGCACCATATTATCAAAGATTACCAAAGTCCGCCCTCGTACAAACATATAGACACACACACTGTGAATGGGAAAGGAATCCACGCATTGGACTGTAGTGTGGCCTCAATATCAATGGGGCTGCCCCAAATTTCAAAATGGATAGTACAGACCCCTGATAGTTTAGATCAACCTTCTTCAACCTGGTGCTCTCCAGATGTTTTTGGATTAAAGCTCCCGTCAGGCTCCAGGGCAGGGCAAAGTCTGGTTTAAACAGTGCGATGCAGCTAATTACAACTAGTTTTGCCCAAATGGCTACTAGCCATCCCTCCCCACCCCCCGACAGTCTTTTGTCAAAAGAAGTTGGTATAACATAACATATTATGTGAAGAGTGCTGGAACCTAAGCTTTTACAAGCCCCATATGTGACATGTTCTGCATAAGTTTTATTGATTTTTTTTATCTCTGTTTGATCGATTTTTAGCTGTGCGTTATGTGCATTTGTGTTTTCAATTTTACCTGTATCTTACTGATAATTTCAGAAATGCACACAGCTTGGAGAATTTGGAGATTTACATGGCTTGCACATCTTTCTAAATAAATAAAATTAAACGTGCCAATTTTGGCCAAACCAGATGTTTGGAGACCCCTCTCCCATTTGCAGAGTTCCAATTCCCATAGTGGTTTAACAGTCAATCCCTCTTCCCAGGGAACTCTGGGAATTGTAGCTCTGTGAGGGGAATAGGTGTCTCAGCACCTTTAACAAACTACACTTCCCAGAATTCATTGGAGTAAGCCATGGCTGTTTAAAGTAGTATGATAGTTATTTAAATGCAAAGAGGAGATGGGGCCTTGGACAGGCCAGTGTATCTCTAGTCTGACTCTGTGTAAGGGAACTTTTTCTCATCCAGTACAGCTTTATCTTTTTATTCCTGAGAAGCAGGGTGCTAATCAGTATTTTTAAAAGGTGATTTTTTAAAAAGGAAGATTTACTTATATTTGAGAGACTTTTATATTGCCTTCCATGAAACACAGTATTTCGGAACCTAGAAGTTGCCTGTTCTTGCTGTTTATTGCAGACAAATCTCATCTTTCCTCCAAAGAACTCTAGTTTCTGCATCTAAATGTATGTACAGTGGTACCTCGGGTTAAGTACTTAATTCGTTCCGGAGGTCCGTACTTAACCTGAAACTGTTCTTAACCTGAAGCTCCACTTTAGCTAATGGGGCCTCCTGCTGCTGCCACGCCACCGGAGCACGATTTCTGTTCTTATCCTGAAGCAAAGTTCTTAACCTGAAGCACTATTTCTAGGTTAGCGGAGTGTGTAACCTGAAGCGTATGTAACCTGAAGCATATGTAACCCGAGGTACCACTGTATTTGAAAGGCAGTGCTAGCTAGATATGTTTATTTCAATGGAGGATGCATTTACGTGATGTGACATGATGGCGAGCAGTGGTTCTCATTGATAAGCAGCGATAAAGCCAACTCTATAAAAACCTTGATATGTTTCTTCTTTGGCATTTCAGAACGATGATCTCCGAAACCTGTCCCTGTCGGGCCATGTCGGTTTTGACAGCCTCCCTGATCAGCTGGTCAACAAGTCAACCTCGCAGGGTTTCTGCTTCAACATCCTTTGTGTTGGTAAGTGATGATAATGGGCTTCTGAACAAAGAGATTATCTGCGTGTCCTTCCCGGATGCAACATGCAGGGCGAACAATATAAAATCCCTCCTGCCTGGTGGTACCTAGCGTGTAAGACACAAAGCATCACAGGGAATCTTTTAAATGGAAATGCTCAGCTTTTTGTGCAGGTTTCTCCACACACCCCACCAAAAAAAGTCTGAAAACCAGCAAAGCATTTGGAACCTCGCGTGTTTAAAACTGAAACTAAACTGGGAAATGATGTTGCATGCTTAGCTGATGTTTCTTGGATTTTTGGAAACCTGGGCAAAAGTTTGTTCTCCCTCAATTAAAATTGCAAATGTACCAGATGTCAATGGGAAAATGACATGGATGCATAGACACTGGGGAGCTATAGCCTAGTTGCCACTGAGCATTGCACCTTGTACATAAGAACATCCAGTACTGGTATTTAGGTGTCTGCTTAAGCACCTGGTGTCGGGACACAAGAAGAACAGCGTCCTGTTCTTAATTGTTGGGCTGCCAGGTGCCTCTGGGAATTCTTCAGGCAGAACCTGAGTACAACAGCTCTCTCCCCACATCTGAATCCAAGTGACTAGTATACAGAGGCATAACACTTCAAACAGTCGTGGCAGATCATAGCCATTGTGGCTTGGAGCTACTTCTCCATGAAAGACCTACACTTTCCCTGGTCATTCAGGGCTAAGGAATGGGGCCATGCCATCCACATGAGGTGTGTAAATAAGGAGCTCCCACACACTGCCCTGTAAAAACCGAGCGATTGTTGACATGAATGTGAATGCACCTTCTGAAGCATGGAGAATTATGTAGCTAGCACTGGGGGAGAATTCGAGTGGGAAGTACAAAATACTCTGCATTGACACAACCGTTTCAAACGCCCAGACTTTATAAGGGAACTCCACTGTATCCTTCCGTTTCCTCGCACTGAATTACGCCATTGCCCATATATTGGCAAAGAAAGTGCAGAAGTTTTTTTAAAAATAAATAAAAATAAATAAAAACCTTAGGTAAATGGCTTAGAGATTTATTTATTTTTTTCATTATTAAGTGGTCTTTAAATTTTGAAAAATAAACAAGCCAATGCTGTAAGGTCAGTTGATAGAACTGGAAATATACATATGCCAAATTGTGCCTCTTCCTCACCCTGGTGAATTCCTCACAAACTTATGTACAGTGGTGCCTCGCAAGACGAAATTAATTCGTTCCGCAAGTTTTTTCTTCTTGCGAGTTTTTCGTCTTGCGATGCACAGTTTCCCATAGGAATGCATTGAAAATCAATTAATGCGTTCCTATGGAAACCGACTTCAGACCAGGTCCGGGGACAATCTGTCCCCCGACCTCTTCTGAAGGCTGGGGGGGGCGAAAGTCTTTGCCCCCCCCCCACGGCAGCATTTTAAAATCGCCCCGGACAGCGGAGGACGTCTCCACTGTCCGGGGCGATTTAAAAGCCCCTGGGAAGGCAGGCAGGGGGGACAAAGACTTTTGCCCCCCGCCAGCCTTCAGAAAAGGTCCAGGACCTCTTCTGAAGGCTGGCGGGGGGCAAAAGTCTTTGTCCCCCCTGCCTGCCTTCCCAGGGGCTTTTAAATCGCCCCGGACAGTGGAGACGTCCTCCGCTGTCCGGGGCGATTTTAAAATGCTGCCGTCCCGGGGGAGCAAAGACTTTCGCCCCCCTGGGAAGGAAGGCAGGGGGGACAAAGACTTTTGCCCCCGCCCGCCTTCAGAAGAGGTCCTGGACCTCTTCTGAAGGCTGGCGGGGGGCAAAAGTCTTTGTCCCCCCTGTCTGCCTTCCCAGGGGCTTTTAAATCACCCCGGACAGCGGAGAAGTCCTCCGCTGTCCGGGGCGATTTTAAAATGCTGCCGTCCCGGGGGAGCAAAGACTTTCGCCCCCCTGGGAAGGAAGGCAGGGGGGACAAAGACTTTTGCCCCCGCCCGCCTTCAGAAGAGGTCCTGGACCTCTTCTGAAGGCTGGCGGGGGGCAAAAGTCTTTGTCCCCCCTGTCTGCCTTCCCAGGGGCTTTTAAATCACCCCGGACAGCGGAGAAGTCCTGGACCTCTTCTGAAGGCGGGCGGGGGGCGAAAGTCTTTGCTCCCCCCCCCCGCCTGCCTTCAAAAGCCGTCGGGGAGAGCGGAGCGTTCTCCGCTCTCCCGGGAAGGCAGGCAGGCGGGAGCAAAGTCTTTCGCCCCCCGCCCGCCTTCAGAAGAGGTCCAGGACCTCTTCTGAAGGCGGGCGGGGGGCGAAAGTCTTTGCTCCCCCCCCCCCGCCTGCCTTCAAAAGCCGTCGGGGAGAGCGGAGCGTTCTCCGCTCTCCCGGGAAGGCAGGCAGGCGGGAGCAAAGTCTTTTGCCCCCCGCCCGCCTTCAGAAGAGGTCAAGGACCTCTTCTGAAGGCGGGCGGGGGGCGAAAGTCTTTGCTCCCCCCCCCCGCCTGCCTTCAAAAGCCGTCGGGGAGAGCGGAGCGTTCTCCGCTCTCCCGGGAAGGCAGGCAGGCGGGAGCAAAGTCTTTCGCCCCCCACCCGCCTTCAGAAGAGGTCCAGGACCTCTTCTGAAGGCGGGCGGGGGGCGAAAGTCTTTGCTCCCCCCCCGCCTGCCTTCAAAAGCCGTCGGGGAGAGCGGAGCGTTCTCTGCTCTCCCGGGAAGGCAGGCAGGCGGGAGCAAAGTCTTTCGCCCCCCGCCCGCCTTCAGAAGAGGTCCTGGACCTCTTCTGAAGGCGGGCGGGGGGCGAAAGTCTTTGCTCCCCCCCCGCCTGCCTTCAAAAGCCGTCGGGGAGAGCGGAGCGTTCTCCGCTCTCCCGGGAAGGCAGGCAGGCGGGAGCAAAGTCTTTCGCCCCCCGCCCGCCTTCAGAAGAGGTCCAGGACCTCTTCTGAAGGCGGGCGAGGGGCGAAAGACTTTGCTCCCCCGGGACGGCAGCGTTTTAAAATCGCCCCGGACAGCGGAGAAGTCCCCCGCTGTCCCGGGGTTTTTTAAAAACCTCTCCGCCCCCCTGCCAGGCTTCGGAGCAGCCTTCCGAAGCCTGGCGGCGGGAGGAGGTCCGAGGACAGTGGGGAAGACGCGCTTCCCCGCTGTCCCGGAGATTTCCCTATGGGCTGTCGTCTTGCGAAGCAAGCCCATAGGGAAATTCGTTTTGCGAAGCGCCTCCAAAACGGAAAACCCTTTCGTCTAGCGGGTTTTCCGTCTTGCGAGGCGTTCGTCTTGCGGGGTACCACTGTAGCACCGAATTGCAGCCCTAGAGAAACTCTCAAGCAAATGTCCTCAAAGACTGGAAGCCTCGCTCAGCCGCCCCTCTGGCTCCTGAGATTTCAGCAGGGAATTCCCTCGCACTCCCATCTCTTTGTAAACATGAGGACCAGAAACTTGAGTTTCTTTTCCTCTTGTTTTGTTAACAAGAAGGAAGCTCATCAGGCTGATAGCTGAAGTTTGCATCCCTTCGCATCGCATCGCTTTGCTTTCTCCGCGATCTAGTGGGAATTGTGGCATCCACACATAGCCTCTCCTCTGAGGCTGCGTACAGGGTGAACTGTCCTCAAGGTTGCGGCCAAAGTCATCCAGAGGCAAAATTTATCCGTGGAATGCAAAAGGCCGCTGCCTCTTCTTTGCTCTCCCATGAGGATTAGTGTTTTCCTATCCATCAAATTAAAACAACGGCGAAAAGAGATGTCGTCAAAACCGCAGCAAGCTGTTGAACAAAGTGGTTTGAGCTTCTAGAGGCTAGAGCGATGTTGTTTCCCCGAGACCTTTCCTATTTGCATCCCCTGAATGGCATTTCTGTGCGTCCGCAAAACGAAACCATTGATCTCTGCACTTCGCTTGGCAGGGCTGAGCTATTCCCGTTGCTGCCTGTTTATATGAAATCCGGTTTTGTTTTTACAATGAAACTTTAGCAGGCAGCTTCGCTGTTCCATTTAAAAGAGAAAATATTGACTGGGGTTTTATTGCACCGTTGTTGTTTTTTTAAAAAAAGAAAAGGAACGTGACTTGCATCCACAGCTGGTTTAAGAACATAAGGAAAGCCTGCTGGGTCAGGTCAGCATCCTTCTTTCACAGTGGACGACCAGGTGCCTTATGGGAATATCTCAAGCAGCACCTGAATGGAACAGCCCTCCAGAAGTGGAATACGTCAGGCAGAAAAATACAAGAGAAGGTGAAGAAATTAGAAAAGAATGTACTACAGCACTGACAAAATAGGATTTGTATTTGTACATACTGGACTTGGTGATCAACTGAAAAGCTACTTCTTAATATATCATGTCACCAAGTTGATTTCGACATTATGAGAAGCTCTCCTCAATCCCAGCAATTGGCAGTCAAAAGCCCTGGAGATAGTATATGCTTGGCCATGATGGCTGGTAGCCACTGGCAGCCTTCTCCTCTATGAGATGTATGGTCTTACGCAGTTGAACTTTTTGTGCCCTTGCCAAAACCTCTGTGCCGATGCCTTTTTTGCAGGAAATATCCGGCAGTTAATAATTTAACCAGTGGAAGGTCCCACTTGCCACAAAAAGGAAAGGCCAACTCCAGTTGTGTTGCTTCTCTTTGCTTCCTGTTACAGTAACATACCCAAACCAAAACGACCTCAAAAAATATATGAATAAACGTGCTCATAAACTCCCAGCCCCGCCAATATAAATTTAGCCTTTCTCTATTAAATTCTGGGCCCTCCCACCCATTTCCAGCTAAACCGACTAAGGTTGAAACCCAGTGCTAATTGGCACATATATATTTTTTTCCTGCTAAAGGAAAATAAGAAATAGCATGCTAATTGATTCCTTTGTCCAACAATGTGTATCTCTTAACGGAAAGACAAATTTCAACAGTGTGGGCTGCATCAGACATTTCTGGAGCACTCCTGGGCTGCAGAGTACCGTGGTCTGGGATGACTTAGCAGTTCCCTATCAAAGAGCGCTTCAGGGCAGGGCAAGTGAGAGGGACTTGTAGTCCTCCAGATGTTATTGGACTACAGTTCCCATCACTCCTGCCAATCACCCATGCTGGCTGCAGCTGATGGAGTCCAAAACATCTGGAGGGCCATAGTTTCTCCTTCCTTGTTTCAGGGCTTGGTGGTGGGACCCCCAGGGTGCATTGCAGGCTGTGTTCTCAATATAATAACAGTTATCATGGCCCCAGCAACGCACCCTACTGGTTTCGTAGTTCTGTTAATGGAGAAGGTTTGAAAGAACAACAGTTCTGTTAATGGAGAAGGATTGAAAGAACAACAACAAACAACCTAGGATTTTACGCTGCTCTTTGCTTCTTTGCTCTGGCCAAAGGGGAGAGTTGTATCCTACTGGTTTCATAATTCAGTTATTAATGGAGAAGGTTTTGCACCCCCATGATTGAAAGGAACAACAACAACAGCAACCAAACTGGGGGATTTTACGCTGCTCTTTGCTTCTTTTCCTCTGGCCAAAGGAAGTTGTTCAGCTACAAAGCAGGCATGGGAGAAACCTGTGGGAAGAAAAGTGAAATCAAGGTAAGTAACTAAAGGAATATAGTTGGAAGCTAGCTGCCAGCTTTCTGCACCAGAAATTAGGATGGAAAGAAAGAATCCTTGGCAGATGACCATCCAACCTCTGCTTAAAAACTGCTAAAGAAGGTGAATCTACCACCTTCCAAGGGAGTCCATTCCACTGTTGAACAGCTCTTGCGGTCAGAAAGTTCTTCCTAATGTTTACACGGAGTCAGCTTTCTTGTAATTTGAATCTACTGGTTTGGGTCCTAGCCTCTGGAACAGCAGAAAACAAACCTGCTCCATGTGGCCGCGCTTCAGGTATCTGAAGATGGCTATTGTATCCCTTCTCAGTCTTCTCTTCTCCAGGCTAAGCATACCTAACTCCTCATATGGCTTGGTTTCCAGACCTCAGTCATCTTGGTTCTCTTCCTCTGCACAGGTTCCTGCTTGTCAATAGCTTTCTTAAATTGTGGTGCCCAGAACTGGACACAGGACTCCAGGTTCAGTCTGAGGACGGCTGAACAGAGCAGTACTATGGCTTCCCTTGATCTGGACACAATACTTCTTTTGCTACAGCCTATAATTGCACTACCTTTTGGGGGGGGTGCTACATCACACTGTTGATTCATGTTAAGAGTGTGTTCTGCTAAGACCCTAGATCCTTTTTAATGTGCTGAGTTTTATAAGTGCTTAAAAAATAATGTTGGCATGTTGTTCTTAATAGATCTCTCTCTCTCTCTCTCTCTCTCTCTCTCTCTGTGTGTGTGTGTGTGTGTGTGTGTGTGTGTGTGTCGCTGCTGGTCCAGGACTAGCTTCTAGCAGTTGTAGACTTCTGATCTGATATAACTTTTGGCTGCAATTTTAATTGAGAACTGATGAAATAGGTCTTGCAGATTTTTGAAGCAATGCAAACCTGTGTATAGCTCACAAATAGCAACCTCTCTTTAAAAAAGAAACAATTGTGTCTGTCCAGGCAATAACAAACCTCTTCCCAGTTATCGTTAGCCAGGCAAAAGTAAGTCCCACAAGTTAACATTAAAAAATAATAATACAGCATATCTGGTGCAGGTGCAGAAAGATTCTCCTGCCATATTTAAAAATGAATGAATGTCTTATGATTTCAGTTGCAAGATGGTTAAGGGTAGTTTCGAAAATGAAAATAAAATCAGCTGATGAGAGGCAAGTAGATACATACATGCCTGTAATAAATCACTTTAAATAGCTAAGTAAATATTTTAAACCTTTGTAAAATACACACACACATAATTCAACTTATATTGATAATTTATTATCTCATCTGTGAGAAGGCGTGAAATAATACCACATCAAACTTTTTGTTATCCCACACTTTCCAGGGTATTTCCCCCTCACTTTCCTTACCGCAGAAAGTCCATTTTGTTGCACAGGAGTGCCAAATGAACTTTAACTGTGTGACCTGAACATGCTGGTTTATAAACTAAAGCAGCCTGAGTCCCAAGGAATTCTGACTCTCACTTGTTTTAACAGTAGCAGCAACAAAATGCCAGGTCTAGTATTTGAAACAAGCTCCTGAGCTCAGAATCCCGTAACTTTGAGAGTACATACTGCCTTCAGTGTTAGCCCTACTCAGAGTAGACCAAGTGAAGTTAAAAACCATGAATAGCCTCATGTCCATTAATTTCACTGGGTCTGCTCCAAGTAGGACTCAAACCTACGACTTTTGCTCTTTACTCTTGTTGGTCAACTTAAGAGTCCTGGTAAAAAAATGGAAGTATCTTCTGCAAGCCTGAAGTTTGCCCAGCTTTGACCTCTTTGCGAAGTTAGGATTTGAACTATAAATTACTTAAACCATGGAGTCTCATTCCTAAGCAATGCTTTCCTTGCCCTATTCCTGTAACTTTGGAATTCTGATGTCTCATTTAAGCAGAATATCCTTGATTTGGACGCCAGGAAAAAGTCACTGGGAGGCTAAAGGTAGTGGCTATGGGCTTCTCAGACTCCTAACCTGACTGTGGTCCTTTTCAGGGGAAACTGGCATTGGCAAATCGACGCTCATGGACACCCTGTTCAACACAAAGTTTGAAAGTGACCCAGCCACTCACAACGAGCCTGGAGTGCGGTTGAAAGCAAGGAGTTACGAACTCCAGGAGAGCAACGTCCGCCTGAAGCTGACGATCGTTGACACGGTTGGATTTGGAGACCAGATCAACAAAGATGACAGGTTAGCATTAAGGCTGCTCCAGACTCTTCTTTGAAGTGCCAAGCGCTTTGCAGAGAGAGAAATCGCACGTGTAAGCTTTCCTCATGCTGGAAGGTTTTGGTGGAAAGTTTACATGTTCCATTTGCCTCTTGATCTGCAGGGTGAAATGTGGTATGCTTTTCAAGCATGAGATTTCTCCCCAAGTGCCTTTTGAGTTGGGAAAAGCCCTCTGTGAGAAAGATACTATGACACAGACAACTTCGACTTATCCATTTGGGGAAGCGGCAGACTCAGATTTAAGTGGAACAATGGATGTGATGTGTCTTACCTTTGCACATTAGACTTTGCAACTCCCTTTGTGGAGAAGCTGGACTGGCAGGTGAAGCCTTTGTCATCTAAGCAGGCTTTTGGCCATTGACTGCTTTTTGCTTAAAAGGGTTGGTGCCGTGTTTTCATTGTAATTATTGGTATGTTTTAAAACAGATCTTATATATGTATATAATTTCGATTCTATCCATTTTGGGTTTTTTGACGATTGGTTTTTCTATGTTTTCAGCTGTTCTTATCTGTAAGCCAACTTCAGTCCTGTGCTATCAGTAAATATATAGTAATATCAGTGCCCCATTCACACTATACATTTAAAAGACTTTAAACGGGCATGACTTTCCCCAGAGAATTATGGGATATGTAGTTTATTAAGACAGCTCCGGCGGGAAGGTAAACGGCGTTTCCGTGCGCTGCTCTGGTTCGCCAGAAGCGGCTTAGTCATGCTGGCCACATGACCCGGAAGCTGTACGCCGGCTCCCTCGGCCAATAAAGCGAGATGAGCGCTGCAACCCCAGAGTCGGCCACGACTGGACCTAATGATCAGGGGTCCCGTTACCTTTACTAGTTTATGAAGGGTGCCAAGACTTATTAGCAGACCCCTCTTCACCCACTACAACTCCCAGAGCAGTTTAACCAGTGCTATTTTTCTAGAGAAAGAGGGGCCGGAACTCACCACAAATGCCTCCCTTGTTCTCTTGTAATGGCAATGGTGTCTACCTGAGAGGTGCTGGAACTAAGTTCTGGCTAGGAAAAAAAGCCCTGAGTTTAGAAATCAACTCTCCTTCCCAGGGAACTCTGGGAATTGTAGTTCTCTGAGGGAGAATAAGGGTCCCCTAACAACTCTCTTGCATTTTTAGCAAACCACAGTTCCCATGATTCTTTGGGAGGCAGCCATGTCTGCTTAAAGTGGTATGATACTGCTTTAAATGTGCAGATGGGGCCTTGGGTTTCAAACCTTGCTGGGAATCTCAGCCCTCCTTGCTGAACTCTCCTCTCCCTTCATCAAGCCTGGGTGTGTGTGTCTGTGTGTGTGTACAGACGCACTGAAACAGCTCTTGTTTTTTGAAGTGGCACATATGTGCGCAAACCAAGGGGGAAAGGACTTTTAAAATGAAAAGCCTGCCCACCCTCCCAGGAGCAGGTGTTCCATATGGAAATGTGTTGCCACTTTGTCTCCTGAACCGTTTTGCATCTGATTTAATTCAGCCAGAGCCAGAAGCATTGTCTCCCCTCATCTGTCAAGACCTCCTTTGTTCAAGGGTGTACAGCAGGGCTCACGCTATGACCCACGACGTGAATGGGAGAGCCGTTACCTCCTCTGCGCCTTGTCACAATCGGGCGCTTGTCCCAAACGATCGCAAGCTAAGCATCGCGGCTGCAATTAGTCTCCTGCCCTGGCCTGGCTCGTTTTAGTGATTTACAAGGGGGTTCTTCTCTATAAGCCCAGAGCAGGAAGATCTCTAAGACGTCAACGCTGATTGCTTACAATGCGCACTGTTGACGGAGACCACTTGTGGAGCATATGCGTTGTCTCCGGTTTCTGAAGAAGGCAGGTCTGGGAGGAAAAGATCAGGATCACAAGATGCATCTCGTTTCAAGACTTTCCTTTGTCTTTTCCAGTTTTATGCATGCTGGTGGGTCTTCTGTGGCCATGCAGCTTGATTACCCAGGGCTGCGTTCGGTACCCGTGTTTGTCACAAGGTCAGCCATCGATGGGTTTCTCTTTCAGGCAGCGCAAGACATTCTCACCAGCTTTGTCAGGGCTAGCAATATTTTAGAGCGGAGCTTTCCAAACTGGTGACACGCTTTTTAGACATGCATCATTTTGCGACACAGTCATTCAGTTTTACTAGCAAATTGGACCTTTAAAGCTCTAAACAGCCTCGGCTCAGTATACCCCACCCATCGTTCAGCCTATACACTGAGGTCCAGCTCCGAGGGCCTTCTGGCAGTTCCCTCCCTGCGAGAAGTGAGGTTACAGGGAACAAAGCAGAGGGCCTTCTAAGTAGTGGCGTCTGCCCTGTGGAACGCCCTCCCTTCAGATGTCAAGGAAATAAACAACTATCTGAGGCTGCATGTTTGGTATGGATCAGGGACTGGATAAAACTGGAAAAGGAAGAAGCATTGGACTTAGAAGGCCACAATAATAGATTTGGATGGCATGCATATTTATGGCATGGGAAAGGCAAAGTGTTTGATTTTTTTATCGCTTATTATTATTATTATTATTATTATTATTCTGTTGGGAGCTGCCCAGAGTGGCTGGGGAAACCCAGCCAGATGGGTGGGGTATAAATAAATAAATAAATTATTATTATTTTACACTAATTCCTTTCCAGCCCCCGAGAGGAACGCGGGAAGAATTTGCGTGACACACCTACACACTGCAGCCAACACGCTTAATGGGTTGTGACACACAGTTTGGAAAGCTCTGTTTTAGAGGATTTGTATCCCAGTTGGAGAGTGCTTGAAATGTAAGGTGCTGAGGGGAATCTATGCATAACAAGCTTTCTTAACCTGCATAGATCATAATGCAGCGCTACTGGCCTCCTAATATGTGACCAATACATGATCAAGTATAAGGAACCTGTGAAGAGAGGCAAAATAATCAGACTAAACACTGACTTTTGTTTTGCCTTTTATTCGTTTTTACAATTCTGGAGATTTCTCTCCTGGTGTTTGTTATTTATGATGCGCAGCCTTGCCTTCTATGAAATCAATATATACATTTTAAAAACATAATCAAGTAAACGAGCAAGGGGATTTTCAGTTGCACAGTAGTCATAAGTGAAATGGGCGAGCCACTCCCACGCCAAAATATTTCTTGAAACAATTCGTTTCAGTGTTTGCATGTTACCTGAAACCTGGAATATGTTGTTTGAATGGCTATGTCTCTTATTATCTCCTTTTAAAAACCAGTTTAGCTGGCAGTTTAGCTATTTCCACACAGGAAACCCAAGAATGCTTAAGTTCGTTTTAAACTAGTTTTGGGAACGCATGTTGTAGCTGAACTTTAAAAGCCTTCAGTTTGCTGACTGCGCTTTATCTGGCGGCAAAGCTATTTTAATGACTTCATCTAAACTTTCCTAAATAGGAAATAAGCTTTAGCGAGGAATTCTTGGAATGTGCGGCTTGTGGGGAAGAATTTCAAGGATGCCTGCTTTTTTAACCCATTCTGAAAGTGAGGCATCTTGGCTTCCATAAAGGCGGGTGAGATACCACAGCTTCCACAGCACATGGAAGGAGAGAAGGGTATAGCGCAGTCCCTGGCACCATTGCCATGGTTGCATATTGAGGCCTCTATTCACCCAATAATAATAATAATAATAATAATTTATTATTTATACCCCGCCCATCTGGCTGGGTTTCCCCAGCCACTCTGGGCGGCTTCCAACAAAACACTAAAATACAATAACCTATTAAACATTAAAAGCTTCCCTAAACAGGGCTGCCTTCAGATGTCTTCTAAAAGTCTGGTAGTTGTTGTTCTCTTTGACATCTGGTGGGAGGGCATTCCACAGGGCGGGTGCCACCACCGAGAAGGCCCTCTGCCTGGTTCCCTGTAACTTGGCTTCTTGCAGTGAGGGAACCGCCAGAAGGCTCTCGGCGCTGGACCTCAGTGTCCGGGCAGAACGATGGAGGTGGAGATGCTCCTTCAGATATACTGGACCGAGGCCATTTAGGGCTTTAAAGGTCAGGACCAACACTTTGAATTGTGCTCATACTGGGAGCCAGTGTAGGTCTTTCAAGATCGGTGTTATATGGTCTCGGCGGCCGCTCCCAGTCACCAGTCTAGCTGTCGCATTCTGGATTAGTTGTAGTTTCCGGGTCCCCACGTAGGTAGCCCCATGTAGAGCGCATTGCAGTAGTCCAAGCGAGAGATAACCAGAGCATGCACCACTCTGGCGAGACAGTCTGCAGGCAGGGAGGGTCTCAGCCTGCATACCAGATGGAGCTGATAAACAGCTGCCCTGGACACAGAATTGACCTTATCCTCACAACCGTCCTGTGAGGTTGGTTAGGCTGAAAAGGCAGTGGCTGGCTCAGAGGTCACGCAGCTCACCCCACTCATAATCTGTGAGGAACCTCAGGCCCAAATGTGACCCTCCAGGACTCTGTATCTGGCCTTCAAGACTTGTCTCAGTCCAAAACCCTCCCCAGGCCTGCACTGTACCCTTCCAGGGTTTTTCTGCCTGGTTTAACTGCATCCTTCAACTCCCAAAGATGCTCCTTGCTTCCCGGGATGCAGGACAGAGTGTGTGCGCATAAAACAGGGGTCGGCAAACACCATGGTGGGCCGGAACGCGCGCACATGCACAAACGCTACATCTGGCGCTCCTTCCAGCACGGAGGAGGTGTGCACAGCTTCCCATTGGCTGCAGGAGCTTCCTGCAGCCAATGGAAAGCCGCCCAGCATTGCGGAAGGCGGTCCCTCTCCACTCCACGCCAGTTTAGCTTGTGGCCCATGGGCCTTCGGTTGCCAACACCTGGCAAAACACTAGACAAAGGGTGTGTCTGTCTGTGTGTGTGTGTGTGTGTGTGTGTGTGTGTGTAGATATAGATACGGTGGTACCTCGAGTTAAGAACTTAATTCATTCTGGAGGTCTGTTCTTAACCTGAAACTGTTCTTAACCTGAGGTACCACTTTAGCTAATGGGGCCTCCCGCTGCCACCATGCGATTTCTGTTGATATCCTGAAGCAAAGTTCTTAACCCGAGGTACTATTTCTGGGTTAGCGGAGTCTGTAACCTGAAGCGTCTGTAACCCGAGATATAGATAGATAGATATTCATTGCTCCACCCATTTATGCCTCTGGCCCCACCATGGGCAAAGTCACCCAGAAGGGAATGTGTCACTTGTTCCGAAAAAGCTCTCTCCCACCCCCCCCCCTTGCTGCAATGACTGCACCATGCTGGCTCCCTCTGGAAAGGATACAGTGGTACCTCGGGTTAAGAACTTAATTCATTCTGGAGGTCCGTTCTTAACCTGAAACTGTTCTTAACCCGAGGTACCACTTTAGCTAATGGGGCCTCCCGCTGCCACTGCGCCGCCACTGTGCGATTTCTGTTCTTATCCTGAAGCAAAGTTCTTAACCCGAGGTACTATTTCTGGGTTAGTGGAGTCTGTAACCTGAAGTGTCTGTAACCCGAGGTATCACTGTATCTGGTTTCAGAGCTGGGGGGAAAGCCCAGGAGAGTTGCAGCAGGCAAACCTAGGCTATGTTCAAGTCTGAGGTGCTGGCGGTAAGAACACAGACAAGGAGAGCAACTGTGCTTGTGGCTACAGGAACTTTGAAGCGCCACCTTTATGCCATAGAAACAAAGCAATACAGTTATCTCTAGAACATGTAGGCAAAGGGACAAAGAACTGGAGAGTGGAGGAACAAACCACAGCGTTTCTGAGACATCATGGCTTCAGCATACCAGTTGCTGCGATTCACAGGTGGGCAGAGGGCTGTTGCGCTCATGTTCAGCTTGCAAGCTTCCCACAGGCATCTGGTCAGCAGTGTTAGAAACTGATATATGAAGGTTAGGAGCTAAAAGGCACCTTAAACCCAGGTTATGGGCGCAGCAACGGAATGTCTAGGCGTGCTTTTTCTGTAACGATAATGCAAAGCTGAAAACGAATGGACTGCAGCTAAAATATCACGTTCATTTTTCATATGGTCTAGTCCTTCAGTTTTTCTTGAGAATCTATTTTCACGTGCTTCATTGAGCAAGTTCCTAGTCCCTAACATCTATAGATAGAGGCTTGGAAGTGCATGCATTGGCAATGCATGCCTTAGGAGCTAGAAGTGTGGCTGAGGAGCATCTCCAGTGATGGTGGTTGGGACCTGAGTGCCATACCTCCACGAAGCTCCTTAACCCCTCTGCATGATCAGCAAAACCAGCGTAAATTATATTTTAAAATGCAGGTACATTATGAGTTGGGTTCATTTGCAGTATCAGCACTTCTTGATTCAGGCTTTGGATTGCCTGGCCGCAGAATCTTTAGTTATTAAAAGCACAGAGGGCCCTCAACCTTCTCTGCCACATTGTGGGTGTTCGGACATAGTCTTGCGTTTTCTCTGCCTGCCTCTTTTTATAGCCCTTTTGCTTCGCTCCCCTTCGCTTGCCTCCAGCTTCCCCCAGCCACCAGCTGCTCCTTCGCTCTTCCCCCTTCTTTTCCCAGTTTCCCACTCCCCCCTTCCATGCTTCTCCTTAGCTCAGTATTCACATTCCACAGCGATGCAAAAGGCCACAGACACAGGCGTTGCAGACCTCTGCATCATGCCCTCATGCTATGAGGCCCTGTCAGAAATTTGGCTGTGGGTCTTCTGCACAACTGCCCAGCATGAAGTATGGAATCTGGAGCAGAGTTTGGCCTCCTGAGAATCTCCGTTTATGTGGCAGGAAAGGTCAAATTCCTACAACTGCATATCAAAGCCATCTTGGGGCTAACATCTGAAAGGAACCCCCGTCCATTAACCCTCTTCACTTTCTCCTACTTTTTACATGTTCACAGCCCTCTGCCCTGTTAACACATTATGGGCTGTCAGCCAGCATACATGAGTGTCTTTGGTGCGGGAGAGCACTCTTTCATGTACTACGACTATTATTAATTGTTACTTACTAAATTAGTGTTCTGCCCTTCAACACGAAGGTTCCCACGGAGTTCCCTAGCAGTATATTAAAAGGCACACCACAAAACCAACAATATAACACACTATACAAGAACTGTCAACCAACAATATGATACACAAATCAAAACGAAACATCAAAATACCAAGAAACCGGGATTCAAACAATCCAGCATCAAAGTTTATCTCCTCAAGCAATTAACAAGCCCAGACCTCTGACCCTACAGCTGAAGAATATCTTGCTTTGGCCTACGTGGGGCCAATGGCTTGAGGTTGGTCGTTCATACAATCTTGTCAACCACAGTGTTATCCTACTTGACCTCAAATGTTTTTTGCACTCAATGCCTTAGGCACAAAACTGCAGCTCAGAGCCTTCTTCCCAGAATGCATTTGGTTGTCTAACTGCCTCTCATTACACGCTAGCAAAAATAAATAAATTTTGGCAATCCCAGTAGCACAAGTTTTCCGTTTTTAATCACTAAATCTCTCTTTTTAAGATTGAGATTTGCTGTAGGCTGTCGTTCTCCTTGCATAAAACCTCCTCTCCCCTTTAAAACCGAGGAACAGGACCTTGGGAACAGCTGTGGGGGGAATTAGCAGGTTTTTAATTTAGCTCCCAGCGTACAAACGGGATGTCCTGATAGCCGGACACTCGATCACAGCAGCTCCCAGCTCATTATAAACTGTTTTGATAAAGAAGGTTCATCTTCAGTTGAACAGCCAGCTGTGGGCAGTATCTCTGTAAAAGCACAGAATTCGGGACCCAGTCAGCACGTAAGCAGGTTCCCTTGCCCAAAGTTGATCTGCTATAAAAGGCTATTCAAAGGTCGGGGGGTACACAATGTTGCCACATAATTTAGACCCCCTTGGCTGTGGATGAATAAGGGTTGACCCAGACTTCCTTTTGTGCCACATTTCTCGGGACAGATCCATATTTCAAAGCTCTATGTCTGAACACTTTCCCCCTGCAAAACACCATAGAATCGTATTTTTAATCGTATTATCTTGTATTTTTATGCTGAGAACCTCCCTGAGATCTTTGGATGAAGAACGATCATATACTACTACTACTACTACTAGATCAATGGAGGACTGCACCTTAGGGGGATAAAGTCAAACTGTCGGCAGGTTGCAGCAGGCTGTAGAGACCGATATGGGAAAATCATGAGGAATGGGACTCTTTGGAACAAGGGACCCCAAGGGTCATTTAGTCCAACCCCTTGCAATGCAGGGAGAGACATGTTTTGTTGCAGCTGGGGCAGGTTAAGGTGTCTGGTTGTGCTGCTGTCGATGCACCATGGCGTTTCTTCCCTTTCTGCTCCTCCCAGCGGTCATTCCTCCTCTGGTCGCTGCTATTGGCGCACGACGTGATTGTCTTGTCTCCAGACAGTCAATAAATAATAAAACAAACCAACAAATAAAATAATAATCAGACCCAACAACAGTCTGCAGAAAACCTGAATTGCCATTTGTTCCGATTCAGCCGGGTTTTCCTGGGGAAAGCAGTGGGGCAAAAGGGAAGCACTCTGAAGCGTGGACCTAGAAAGCAAAGGCAAAAATGGTAAGGCTTGTATTCACAGTGTACCTTTGAAGTACATCATTTCCTTCAAAGAATCCTGGGCACTGTAGTTTATCCATCAAAGAGTTATGATTCTCAGCAAGCTTTAGCAAACCACAGTGCCCAGAATTCTTTGAGGGGTAAATGTGCTTCGAATGTGCTTTATAAAGTTATATATAGCATGAGTGCAGTCCAAGTGCGCAGGCTGGGTCACATTTTTCAAACATGGCAATACCTACCTGCCCTGTGTAGGGTGCCAGCCAGCAGCCTACTATGTGAAACTTGAGCAAACTCTTGCCAGCCTTCCCACCATCTTGACCTGTAAAGTTAAAGGGACCCCTGACCATTAGGTCCAGTCGTGACAGACTCTGGGGTTGCGGTGCTCATCTCGCTTTATTGGCCGAGGGAGCCAGCGTACAGTTTCCGGGTCATGTGCCCAGCATGACTAAGCCGGTTCTGGTGAACCAGAGCAGCGCACGGAAATGCCGTCTACCTTCCCGCCAGAGCAGTACCTATTTATCTACTTGCACTTTGACGTGCTTTCAAACTGCTAGGTTGGCAGGAGCAGGGACCGAGCAACGGGAGCTTACCCCGTTGCAGGGATTTGAACCGCTGACCTTCTGATCAGCAAGTCCTAGGCTCTGTGGTTTAACCCATAGCGCTACCCGCGTCCCTCATCTTGACCTGTAGTTGACATGACTTACACAAGATGGCGGACAGGGGGTGGTTGAAGAACTTTGAAAGAAACCTAATTCTCTTCCTCTCCTGTTGATACCTTGGCTTTTGGTTTCTGTGTGTTTGAGGGGAAGACTGGTCTTATAACTGCACTGGAAGTCACCTTGACGAAAACCCTATAACGGGAGTTGTATCCGGGTTTGAAATGTGATTCTTCTGTTTTCAGCTACAAGCCCATTGTGGAATACATAGATGCCCAGTTTGAAGCCTACCTGCAGGAGGAGCTGAAAATCAAGCGCTCCCTCTTTAACTACCACGACACCAGGATTCACGCTTGCTTATACTTCATCGCACCTACTGGCCACTCGCTGAAATCTCTTGATCTGGTCACCATGAAGAAGCTCGACAGTAAGGTACTCCACTTCACACCTTGATGAGACCTTGCCTTGCTTAGTCGCACAGTTATAACAGTGAAGCAGATTTCTGTTGCGGAGAATTGTGGAGCGAAATTAAAATGCCATGCTAATTCACTTAATGGTAAGAAGCTTTGAGAGCGAGAGGTGGTGTTTTGATGGAGGGGCAGGATTCTGAAACTGTGGCTGATGCCACTTAATGTGTTGTTTGGCCCTGAATGTGCTTCCTCCCCCCATCCCCCAAAATTGTGCTTATTCAAATTCAGGCAGATTTACTTGAAACCTACAGTTAATCAACTGAAATGCTCCTTTAAAAAGTAATTTTAAAAATGATTCTGGATTCCGCCCCCCGCCGGAATACACATTTGCTGAAAATAAGGCCTTTAATTTTGGCACAAGTTTGTTGGGTTTTGGGGTTTTTTTTGCTTTTCTTCCAAATAGGGATTAGCAGGCCCCACAGGAAGTGAGTTTATATAATGTAAGAGGATTGTCAGGCACTGTCTGTAGTTAAAAAGCTCTTGATTTCTGGGTCAATATTAACATCATCTCTACCAGGGTTGCTGTTTTTTTTTAAAAAAATTAATCCTCTGGTTTTATGGCAGGAAATTGCACCTAAGCAGTCCTTAACCTTGTTGCTTATGTGTGGTTCCTTCTTTTCCCTTACAAATGATTGACCTCATAAAGCAAGAGAGAAACCCAGTTTGTGGCCCTGGCAGCGTATTGTGAATCACTTACATAGCACCAAGGAAAGTCCTCAAGATGCTTTACTTTTTGCACAACCCTGTGTATTTATATAGAAGAAAGTCTCATAAGACCCAGTAGGGCTTTCTGCTAAGTAAGTAGGTGTTGCAGCCACAGCCCTGGTCTCTTCTGTTTCCCAGCAACCCTGTGACTATTGTTCCCCCTTTATGCATAGGAAACTAATCTGAAAAACAAGTGATATTTCCTAAGACTGTTTAGTGGTCTTGCTTGACTGTCATGGTAAACTGTGGTTTGTTGTGATGCAAACGAGCCTGTGCAAGCCTTGGACTTTCCTCTCCCTTCTTCCAGCGCCTTTCTCTTCCATTTTTAGCTGTTCCCATTTTAGCATCATGCCTTAACGCAGAAGAAACTGTGGTTTGCCTTAACTGTGGCTTACTGAAGTGTGCCAACTTCAAACTTTGCTTTAGGATTGTTTCAACAAACCATTGTTGTGATAATGACAATGGTAATGATCATTACAATGTAATGCTAAAGCTAATAAAAAAATGAGTGAAATGCAAGCTTCTGATCTCCTTGCAGTTGTGTCTGTGGACCGGGACCGCATGAACTTGAGGTGTGCACAGGTTTATTCACTTAAACTCTCTCAGAATGAGACCGCTGAGCCTCTGGCAGATTTCAAACAGGTTTCCATATGCAGCCGAACTATCTTCTTTCCAGCTCACATTCAGAATATTCATGTGTGTGCACAGACAGCAGCACCCAAGGAGCTCAAAGGCTCTTAGAATTCAAATTCATGGTCGCGCTATCTCCTTTTGTTTGAAATGCATTACTACAGTCTGGGTGACACACAGCATTTCCTGTTCACCACCTCTGTAGAAAGCAGAGAGGAAACAGCTACTTGTGTGTGACTTCTATTTATGGCCAGCTCCTTTGCTCTGAAATGCAAATTGGTGGATCTTATCTGTTTCACTGCCGGTGTAGCTAATTAAGAAAAGAAAAAGAAGGAAATGAGAAGATAGGCTGCACAAAGGTTTGCAATTCACATTCAAGGGTATTTGATAAGGTCTTCATTCACCACAACTTCATAACCTGAATTCCATCACCTGGAAAGCTTGGCTTGGCTTTGCATTGAACAAAATAGACGGTACACGTGAAATGAAAGAAGCGTAGTCAGTGGCGTAGCGTGGGTTGTCAGCACCCGGGGCAAGGCAAGTAATTTGCGCCCCCTAACCCGTGGATTTGCGCCCCCTAACCCATGGATTTGCGCCCCCTAACCTGTGGATTTGCCCTAACCCCAGATGTTGCGCCCGGTGCGGCCGGCACCCCCTGCACCCCCCACGCTACGCCACTGAGCGTAGTTAGATGTGCCAGCCTGGCATTTTTATGGGTGATAGCTGTGTGAAGAGAATAGCTTGGGGCAGGTTTAAATGCTAAAGCCACCATTGAGGGCAGTGGCAATTGGCCTAGTGGGATGATAGTTCCTTTGCAAGCAGGGCTCCCTGATGGTGCCGATCAGCTGATTGGTGCTGACAGCAAGCCCCCCTGGAATTGCTTGTGTTGTAAACAAAAATCTGCCCTTTTTTCCCTTATGGGGTATCCAAGAGCCCATATAGAGTCCTTACGTAGGTTCCCTATTGGTAGGAGAAAATAACAGAGGCCAACCAGAGAATATTGAGAAGCAAAGCAGCTAATAAGCCTGATCTTTATTGATCTGTTGCAACAGGGTCCTCACCACACGCAGGAGGGAGGAGGAACCCAGAACCAAGGTGTGCCTGCATTATATAGACATTTTAAATTCCCTGCCCTGGAGCTCAAGACCACCCCTCCATACATCATACATACATCACAGAAGGGGTGTAACCTAAGACCATCCCCCCAGATACATCATACCAACATCACAGAAAAGGCGGTCTACAGCAGAAATCTGAGTGTGTTGTTTATCTCTTATTCTGACAGGTTACCTGTTTAATGGTCACTTGATTGGATTGCCTGGGGAGCCTGGCCAGTCTTTTGTAATGATAAATACTTAGTTCCTGAGCCAGGTCGCAGGCTCACACCCTATTCATATCTTAAATGTGCCCTTAAGACAGGATTTGTGAAGGAAAAGACAATGGGGAGGCCTTTCCATTTTCCTTTGACCTTGCAGAGAAAACATTTGGTCAGTTTGGGAATCAAAAATGGTTTCAGGTTCTTCCTGTGATCCATGTACGTGCTTGATTGGTACATTTATGAGCATTTAATTTATATCTAAGACCTCAAAATTCCTATCACACTTGCACTGAGGAGTTCCCCATATAGGGGACTCCCTAGTGCAGCTGTGGGGGCTTGCTGTCAGTGAGCCCTGCTCCGTTCATTTCCAGGAATGGAATCTAAACGGCCCCTGCAAATGGGCTTCCAAAGGGCTGGCTTGCCTGGCGTCAGAGGACTGACAGGTATCTGCCAAACCTGGTCTGCAGGGTGTGGGGAATTAAGAAATTGGCCACACCCCTGCCCTAATTGGCAGGAAGCAGCTTCAGTTCTTCATGTCAAATAATCAGAGCTCAGGGTTCAAGTGGAAGGGGCCTCTCTGTCCTGGGATCTTCTCTGTTCTAACTCAGTGAAGCTGGACTTGCTTTCATATTCAGTCAGTTATAGTGGGAGATATTCCAGCACATAATAAGGGTTAATATTGTCCAGGCAAAAGGAAAAGGAAAACTATGTATGAGTTTGGTTTCGTACAAAAGGGTTGGGCATCATTTTGATTTGCTGCCATTCTTCTCCTCCTGCTTGCCATTGGAGAGTCCCCGCATCACCATCAGTATGACTGATTGCTCTCTGTTTTCATTGCAGGTGAACATCATCCCCATAATCGCCAAAGCTGACACCATTGCGAAAAACGAGCTGCATAAATTCAAGAGCAAAATCATGAGCGAGCTGGTCAGCAATGGAGTCCAAATCTATCAGTTCCCCACGGATGAAGAGACAGTGGCCGAGATTAACGCCACAATGAGTGTAAGCCTTGTTTTCCTTGGGTCCTCCATCCCTGCTCTTGAAAGACATGGGAATATAGGAAGTTGCCTTATACAGAATCAAGCCAGTGGCCCATCTAACTCAGTACGGTCTACACTGACTGGCAACATTTCTCCAGGGTTTCACATCAAGGTCTCTCTCTCAGACCGACCTGGAGATGCTGGGGATTGAACCTAGAACCTTCTGCATTCAAAGCAGATGCTCTAACCTCTGGGCTATGTCCAGGCCGTGTCGTGTCGCTCTTTGGCTTTCTAAGCCAACTACACCTTGGATGCAGCCTAGAGCTTATCCACACTTAACCTTTCCTCCACTCTTTCCAGGAATGGCCCACAATTTAAAACTCTGTGTCCGAGCCTCATCCCACCACCCACCCACCCCTTTTTATTGTTCCAGTGCTTTCTCCGCAAAAACTGCTCCTTAAAGCTCAATAGGTGCAAACATCACCCAGTTGGCATTTGTTCCAATTCAGCTTCAAAGAGTGGTTTCCACTACGAAAGCTCAGAGCCAATAAAAACACCCAAAACCGTTTTGGCATGAGGCATTAAAGCGCTGGTCTCTACCTGGAAAGAGCGAAGCAAAAGGATAATAATAATAATAATAATAATAATAATAATAATAATAATAATAATGTGGTACCTCAGTTCTCAAATTTAATCCATTCCGGAAGACTGTTCGAGTTCCAAAACGTTCAAAAACTGAGGCTCAAAGGGTTGTCAGCAAATTCAACTGAGAAAATTGAAAAACATGCAGTGGAAGCTGTTCAACTGACAAGGCGATTTTGAAAATGGAAGCATTTACTGCTGGCTTTTCAGTGTTCGGGTTCCGAAACGTTTGTCAGCGGAGACGTTTGAGAACCGAAATAGAACTGTAATAATAATAATAATAGTAATAATAATAATTTATTATTTATACCCCGCCCATCTGGCTGGGTTTCCCCACCCACTCTGGGCGGCTTCCAACAAAGTGTTAAAATACAACAACCTATTAAAGATTAAAAGCTTCCCTAAACAGGGCTGCCTTCAGATGTCTTCTAAAAGTCTGGTAGTTGTTTTTCTCTTTGACATTTGGAGGGAGGGCGTTCCACAGGGCAGGTGCCACTACCAAGAAGGCCCTCTGCCTGGTTCCCTGTAACTTGGCTTCTCGCAGCGAGGGATCCACCAGAAGGCCCTCGTCGCTGGACCTATCTAGCAAAACAGGAATTGTTGGTTTGACTGCATTTTAAATATCCCACACCAGATGTTTCTGGGATGCCCACAAGCAGGACCTGAGTGTGACATTGGCAGCTCCCGGCAACTGGCACGCAGAGGCACTCTGCCTCTGGCAATGGAGGTGGAGCAGAACCATTGTGGCTAGTAGCTACGGAGAGCCTTCTCCTGCATGACTCCTCATTTTGCCATTGCAATGCAAGTAAATGGGGAACACTTCTTTTCCTGGCTCTTCAGCTATACTGAGAGAGACAGAAGAGCTCAAATGCATGAGGAGAAGTAGGTGGGGCTGGAGGCTGCCCCATGGCGGTGCTGCTTGGCCATAGACGCAGTGTGGAGGAGAAGCTGCCCCAGTGTGGGTGCTTGTGAAAAGGCGACAGGGAGCAGGGAGGAGAGACAGTTATTCCAGCCACAGAAATGTCCAAGCGGCAGCTGTCCTGCACAGCATGTAAGCGAGAGCCTTTCTCCACCCATCTGCCCAGCTCTTGGCTCTTCTCCCGCCCCGGGCTGGGCATGGCCCCTGGCCTTCCCCCAAAATGCAAGCCAGCCCTTCAGAATTGCACACAGCGTAATGAAAACACCACCTGGACGAGTCCCGAGAGACCGAAAACAGACCCAGCTTCCTCTTGGCTTTGGCTCCCATTTCTAAACACACAATATCCTGGACGGGGAAGAATCCCAAGTGCATCTTTTATGGCTAAGCGGGCTGGGCTAGGCGCGTCTTTTTTCGGCACAAGCTCAGCTGCTGTTTACTGGCGGATTCCAAGAGCTCCAGTGTGGTTTTGAGGTTTTTTGGTTTGGAGCTTAGGAAATACAGGAGGAAATGAAGTGCGCCGTTCTGGCCTGGCCAGGGGGCCTTGTGTCTTGTCTGTCTTAATGCATTGCATGGTTAGAAGCTCAGTGAAGAGTTGACCATATGCAGAAGTGCTCAGTAAGTAGTGGTCCATAGGCCAAATGCATTGCACTTTCAACCCTTCTGACTCCAGAGACAGAAGTGGGTAGGGTGGGTGGATGAGCAGTAAAACAGTACGTTTCCGAGCACAATTTAAAGTGTTGGTGCTGACCTTTAAAGCCCTAAACAGCCTCGGACCAGTATACCTGAAGGAGCGTCTCCACCCCCATCATTCTGCCCAGACACTGAGGTCCAGCGCTGAGGGCCTTCTGGCGGTTCCCTCACTGCGAGAAGCCAAGTTACAGGCAACGAGGCAGAGGGCCTTCTCAGTAGTGGCACCCACCCTGTGGAACACCCTCCCACCAGATGTCAAAGAAAAGAACAACTACCAGACTTTTAGAAGACATCTGAAGGCATCCCTGTTTAGGGAAGCTTTTAATGTATTACGGTATTTTAATATTTTGCTGGAAGCCACCCAGAGTGGGTGGGCGGGCTATACATATTATGATGATGATGATGATGATGATATAACACTGGGACATGATAGCAGGCCATGCAATGTGGGGTGGCTCATTGGAAAGGCTGTGTTCTTCCATCCCACATTCTCTTCTCCAAAGGGGTTCTCCAACAAAACAAACTGCTGAGCAAAGGACATGCAAACTTCAGCTTTATGTATCTGAAAGAATGATTTCAGTTCAGACATCACCCCAAACCATGTTTTCTCCAGCCACATTTTAGAAGCCAGATGATGGTTGGACCCTTCCAACCACATGAGGGGACACAATCCTGTTTTCTGTGGCCCACCTTCCTCTCGAGGCAGAGATACAATTCAGCTGTGGCTGTCCAGTCAATACATCAATTCATTCATGAAGTGCTTCAATGTGAAATATATTGGAAGAGAGTTAACAATAAAAACATCGGTAAAACAATTTCGTCCGTAAACGCCTCCCCCCCCCCCCCCGTTAAGGCAATGTCACTTATGAACAGTTTGAAAACCAATATGAATGAATTGGGCCCAACCACACAATGTTATTGCATGGAGGTCTCGTTTATAGGCTTCCCATAGGCATCTGGTTGGCTGCTGCAATAATTAATTAATTAATTAATTAATTAATTGTGCCCCGCCCATCTGGCTGGGTCTCCCCAGCCACTCTGGGCGGCTTCCAACAAAGATTAAAAATACATTAAAATGTCACACATTAAAAACTTCCCTGAACAGGGCTGCCTTCAGATGTCTTCTAAATGTCAGGTAGTTGTTTATTTCCTTGACATCTGGTGGGAGGGCGTTCCACAGGGCGGGTGCCACTACTGAGAAGGCCCTCTGCCTGGTTCCCTGTAACCTCACTTCTCGCAGTGAGGGAACCGCCAGAAGGCCCTCTGCCACAGGGGCTGGATAAAACTGGCCGTGGGGTTGGGTTAGGCTCCCAAAACAGACTTTGGACGTGCCTGCACTGAGTGATCTTGTTGCATCCTGAACCAGGCTTCAAATATTTGTTATAAAACTGTGCCATTAGTGGTGATTATTAATTCCACGCCAAACCTTTAATGGTGCATTTTCCTGGTACATTTTCCTGAAATATTCTCCCAGATATCTTTGTATCACAGCACGCTTTTAAAATTCTTTTTATCGTAGCTACTTCTTCTACTGTAATTATATCTGTCAAGAACCATTCTTTAATCGCTGCTATTTTCACTGCTTTATAATATCCTCACTTGCTGCTGCATTGCCTCCCATAACTATTGCTGACCCTTTTGAAACAAGCATCTACGCATTCTCCTTCCACAGGCTGCCTTGGCTGGCTGGCTAGTTTAGGCGTCTTGGACTAGAGCCAGGCTTCCTTTTTAAAGTCCCCTTTTCCTTCCTCCTTTAGTGAAAGCTAATAAAATGGGGTGGGTAGAATCTCGATTTCCTTCCATTCACCCTGTTCCCCACTCCCTAGGAAGTGTCAGCGCCGGCTTGTGCTATGGACCATCATTATGTAAACTGCACAAGCGCGTCTAAACAGAAAGAGGAAGAAGCAGACAGTGAATGCCTGAGTCACAATGCTCTCCCGCGACCACTCCTTTCCCCAGTCAATTTACGATTCTGTCAGTCCATTTATTGCTGGAAAGCACATCCAGCTACTGCGTATTTCGGGAGGTGCTGTGCATTCTCAGGCCCCATCCATTTTTTTTTAAAAAAAAAGGTAAATAAAATTATTTGCAAATACGATGAAAAGAAAGAAAGGGTGGCTAAGTATTGGAAAGGGAATCAGTTACCCACTAGGGGAGAATGGTTCTGTAAGCTTTCAGAATATTTAGAATTAGCCAAATTGGCAGATATAATAAGACAAAAACCAAAAAGTGAAGTGAAAAAGGAATGGAAGTGTCTAAATGAATACCTTAAAAGTCAAGGTTCGAGGACAGAAATCTGGCTGAGTCTGGAATAACCTTGTGAAGTGAAAGGATAAGAAAGAGGGATTTATATCTGGATGCTAGGATAGAGATGATAAAGAAAACAGGAAAACAGAAAGACACAATGAGAGGTAAAGGAGGTGTTGTGGCATTGGTGGAAGTCAATGTTTGTTTTTCTTTTTAGTGTTTATATTATTAACCTGTAAGATATGGATTTTTTGATTTTTTTGTATGTTGGGTTTTGTGTATTGTTATTTATCTATATTTTTCGTGTTGTTGTTGTGTGGAAAATACTAATAAAATTTAAAAAATTTAAAAAGGAAATACAAGAAAGAAAGGGGGAAATAATGATACTGACAATAAAAACATTCCATCAATCCTAATTTGAAGGTATAATCATTCAGGCCCCATCAGATGTTGTTTCTGCTGCTTTTAGGGGGTGGGGGAAGGCAGGTATCAGATATGATTGACCCCTCTGCCTTACTCACACTGCTTGCATGTGACTCTCATCCAAAGTCAGACCCACCTGCTCTTTGGCAATATTTATCATACGTGCATCGGGTTTCAGGGGTGATTTATGGGTCGAACTGCATGTGCTGATGTGAAGTTCAGGAAAGTTTCATAACTCAGTGGTAGGACATCTGTTCTGCATGTAGAAGGTCCAAGTTCAATCCCCTGACCTCTCCAGGTAGGGCTGGGAAGGACTCTCATTCTGAAACCTTGGAGAGCTGCTGCCAGTCAGTGTGGGCAGAACTGAGTTAGATGGACCCAAGGGGTGCACTCTTCTCTAGGAAGACTATGTACGTGGCTAGAATTCTGCAGGACCACAGAAGAAAGTGGTCCCAAGATTCAACGTCCTGAGAATCCCTGCTTCCGTTTTAGAAAGCAAGCAGTGATGTACATAAAAGTGTTGCCCATACAGCCAACTAAACCTCAGAAGCGAGAGGAGAGGCTGAAAAAAGTTCCCAGTGATTAGGGACATGCTTTCAGTACTCTACCTAGTTGCTTACTGCTCCCCATGTCAAACATGTGGGATATTGATGAGTGCTGAATCATACATTTCCGAGCACAATTCAAAGTGTTGGTGCTGACCTTTAAAGCCTTAAACAACCTCGGTCCTGTATACCTGAAGGAGCGTCTCCACCCCCATTGTTCAGCCCGGACGCTGAGGTCCAGCTCCGAGGGCCTTCTGGCAGTTCCCTCACTGCGAGAAAGCGAAGCTACAGGGAAACCAGGCAGAGGGCCTTCTCGGTAGTGGTTTCCTGTGAAACGCCCTCTCATCAGATTTCAAGGGAAATATACAACTATCTGTCTTTTAGAAGACATCTGAAGGCAGCCCTGTTTTAGGGAAGTTTTAAATGTTTGGTGTTTATCGTGTTTTTAATATTCTGTTGGGAGCCACTCAGGGTGGCTGGGGAAACCCAGCCAGATGGGCGGGGATACAAATGATGATGATGATGATGATGATGATGATGATGATGATGATGAACTGTATCTAAATACTGCCCAATGAAAATGCTAAGGTTGTGTTTAATTCCTAGGGAAGGAAGCTGTTTCTTTGGGTGTGCATGTGTTAAGACTGTTTATTAAGATCTTCTATAATCAAATGAAAGCCATCAAAGAAACACTAAAAACTTGGGAGAATATACAGTGGATGCTCGGGTTACGAACGTGATCCGTGTGGGATGCATGTTCTCAACCCGCAGCGTTCGCAACCCACGTCTGCACATGCGCGGGTTGCAATTTGGCACTTATGCGCAAAGCGCGACTGCCAGAACCCGGAAGTAACCCATTCCAGTACTTCCAGGTTTTGGCAGTCCGCAACCCCAAAAAAACACAACCTAAAGCGGCTGTAACCTGAGGTAGGACTGTACCCCTATACATTTGGTCTCAACAAACCTTAGAGCAAAACAAGCAGACAACAGAAATCTCCCACCAATATGCAATTCTAAACTAAGGTTACCAGATGTCCCTGTTTCCCGGGGACAGTCCCCAGATTTACAAATCAGTCCCATACAAATCCATTGAAGTTGAAAAGTGTCCCCAGATTCATTGAAAAAAATCTAGTAACCTTATTCTAAACACACAACATGTAAAAGGAAACCAGGCCACCAAAGAAGAAGAAGAAACCAGCTCACTCGGCCTATAATACCACTCAGATATTAGGAGACTGTTTTGATCTGCCGCTTTGCTGTCCTTGATTCCCACCAAGCCTGTTCTTCGAAAAGTTAGGCTGTGTTCCAGAAACACTTGGACAACTTCTAAATCGGTGAAAGCCAGCGCAGTTGTCTACTGAAGTGTTTTCTTCCCACTGCTTTTACTTCGCTTTTTTTTTTCATTTAAGGAAAATATGTCTGGCAAAGCAACTGAAGGCTCCCATGGTCTTCCTCTGCCTCTTGCCTTGCAGGTCCACCTCCCGTTTGCTGTGGTTGGCAGCACCGAAGAAGTGAAAATTGGCAATAAGATGGCCAAGGCCAGGCAATACCCATGGGGAGTCGTGCAAGGTATGTTGGCTGCAGAGGTGGGGTCGGGTGGCAGATCTGCTTGCTTAGCTTCGGTTTAGTGAAATGCAGGGTGGAGCTATAAAACTAATTTCTTTCCGCAACAGCAAAAGAGAGAGAGAGAAAAAAAATGTGAAGAGCATGTTAAGATGGTAGCTGGGACCCCAAAAGCTGTGTCAGATGCAGAAACCTTCTCTTTCCCCAGGATCATCTTTTACCCGCTGCACCTGATATGTTCCTGGACTGGGAGAGTTTTAACCACAGTATTTTAGACACCGGTAACTTCAGGATTTAGATTACTGCAGTGCACTTTCTGTGGGGCTGCCCTTGTGCTTGGCCTGGAGATTGCGGTTTCTGGATCTGCTGGAGTTCTTGCACTGGGTATCTGGCTAGAGTTTCTGACTTCAAGGCCCGAGTTCAAATCCATACTCATGCATTTGGCTGGGTTAAGTTGTGCACTGTGCTATTTACAGGTGCACTGTACAGTGGCACCTCTGGTTACGAACTTAATTCGTTCCGGAGGTCCGTTCTTAACCTGAAACCATTCTTAACCTGAGGTATCACTTTAGCTAATGGGGCCTTCCGCTGCCACGCAATTTCTGTTCTCATCCTGAAGCAAAGTTCTTAACCTGAGGTAATATTTCTGGGTTAGAGGAGTCTGTAACCTGAAGCATATGTACCTGAAGCATATGTAACCAGAGGTACCACTGTACCATAACTTGGATATATTCCTATCACACTGCACTGAGGAGTTCCCATATAGGGGACTCCCTAAGTGCAAGCCTGTGGGGGCTTGCTGTCAGTGAGCCCATGTCCGTTCATTTCCAGAATGGAATCTAAAACGGCCCCTGCAAAAGGGCTTCCAAAGGGCTGGCTTGCTGGCGTCAGAGGACCTGACAGGTATCTGCCAAACCTGGTCTGCAGGGGTGGGAATTAAGAAATTGGCACACACACCTGCCCTAATTGGGCAGGAAGCAGCTTCAGTTTCTTCATGTCAAATAATCAGGCTCATGGGGTTCGTGGAAGGGGCCTCCTCTGTCCTGGATCTTCTCTGTTAAACTCAGTGAAGCTGGGACTTCGCTTTCATAAATTCAGTCAGTTATAAAGTGGGAGATATTCCAGCAGCATAATAAGGTTTAATATTGTCCAGGCAAAAGGAAAAGGAAAGAAGCTTGTATGATGTTTGGTTTCGTAGCAAAAGGTGTTGGCATATTTTTTGATTTGCTGCCATTCTTCTCCTCCTGTTGCCATTGGAGGTCCTGCATCACCGCATGGTCAGTATGACTGATTTGTCTCTGTTTGTCATTGCGAGGTGAATCATCTATCCCATAATCGCCAAAGCTTGATCCACTTGCGAAAAACGAGCTGCGCATATAATTCAAGATGCAAAATCTATGAGCGATGCTTGGTCGAGAATGGAGTTCCAGATCTATTCAGTTCCGAGGATGAAGAGACAGTGGTCCGAGATTAAACGCCACAATGAGTGTAAGCCTTGTTTTCCTTTGGGTCCTCCATCCCTGCTCTTGAAAGACATGGGAATATAGGAAGTTGCCTTATACAGATCATGCCAGTGGCCCATCTAACTAGTACGGTCTACACTGCTGGCAAATTTTCTCCAGGGTTTTCACGATCAAGGTCTTCTCTTCAGACGACTGGAGATGTGGGGATTGACCTAGAACCTTCTGCATTCAAAGCAGGATGGCTCTAACCTCTGGGCTATGTTCCAGGCCGTGTCGTGTCGCTTTTGGGCTTCTAAGCCAACTATCCCTTGGATGGCAGCTAGAGCTTATCCACACTTAACCGTTTCCTCACTCTTTCAGTTGAATGCACAATTAGATTTAAAACTCTGTGTCCGAGCCCATCCCACCATCCCACCCCCTTTTTTTGTTTCCAGTGCTTTCTCCTGCAAAACTGCTCCTTAAAGCTCAATAGGTTGAACTCACCAGTTGCATTTGTTTCCAATTTCAGCTTCAAAAGAGTGGTTTCCATCTACGAAGCTGCAGAGCCAATAAAACACCCAAACCGTTTGGGCATGAGGCATTAAAGCGCTGGTCGTACCTGGAAGAGCGAAGCAAAGGATAATAATAATAATAATAATAATAATAATATAATATAATAATAATGTGGTACCTCAGTTCAAATGTATATCATTCCGGAAGAGACTGTTTGAGGTTCCAAAACGTTTGAAAATGAGGCTAAATGGGTTGTCAGCAAATTCAACTGAGAAATTGAAAACATGCAGTGGAAGCTGTTCAACTGACAAGGCGATTTTGAAAATGAAGGCATTTAGCTGCTGGCTTTTTCGTTGTTCGGTGTCTGGGAAACGTTTGGTCTGCGGAGCGTTTTGAGAACCGAAATAGAACTGTAGATAATAATAATATATATATTGTAATAATAATAATTTTATTTATACCCGCCATCTGGCTGGGTTTCCCCACCCACTCTGGTGGCTTCCAACAAAGTGGTTAAAATAAACAACCTATTAAATGATTAAAAGCTTCCGCTAAAAGGGCTGCCTGTCAGATGTCTTCTAAAAGTCTGGTAGTTGTTTTTCTCTTTGACGTTTGGGGGAGGGCGTTCCCAGGGCAGGTGCCACTACCGAAAGGCCTCTGCCTGGTTCCCTGTAACTTTGGCTTTCGCGGAGGGATCCCAGATGGCTCGTCGCTGGACCTATCTAGCAAAAGCAGGAATTGTTGGTTTGACTGCATTTTAAATTATCCCACACAGATGTTTCTGGGATTGCCCACAAGCAGGACTGAGTGTGACATTGGCAGTCTCCCGGCAACTGCACGCAGATGGCACTCTGCCTCTGGCAATGGAGGTGGAGCAGAACCATTGTGGGCTAGTAGCTACGGAGAGCTTCCTGCATGACTTTCCTCATTTGGCCATTGCAATGCAAGTAATATGGGGAACACTTTTTCCTGGCTCTTCAGCTATATGAGGAGAAGAAGAGTCAAATGCATGAGAGGAGAAGTATGGTGGGGCTTGGAGGCTGCCCCATGGCGGGTGCTGCTTGGCCATATAGGCAGTGTGGAGGAGAAGCTGCCCCAGGTGTGGGTGCTTGTGAAAAGGCGACAGTGGAGCAGGGAGGAGAGGACAGTATTCAGCCACAGAAATGTCCAAGCGGCAGCTGTGCCTGCAGCTGTAAGCGATGGCCTTTCTCCACCCATCTGCCGCTCTTGGCTCTTCTCCGCCCGGTCTGGGCATTGGCCCCTGGCCTTTCCCCCAAAATGCAAGCCATGCCCTTTCAGAATTTGCACACAGCGTAATGAAAACACCACCTGGACGAGTCTCCGAGAGACGAACAGACGCCATGCTTCTCTTGGCTTTGGCTCCCGTTTCTAAACACAAAATCCTGGACGGGGAAGAATCCCAGTGCATTTTTATGGTAAGCGGGTGGCTAGGCGTCGTCTTTTTTCGGCACAAGCTCAGCTTGCTGTGTTTACTGGCGGATTCCAAGAGCTCCAGTGTGTGTTTGAGGTTTTTTGGTTTTGGAGCTTAGGAAATGCAGGAGGAATGAAGTGCGGCCGTTTCTTGGCCTGGCATGGGGGCTTGTGTCTTGTCTGTCTTAATGGAATTGCATGGTTAGATGCTCAGTGAAGAGTTGACCATATGAGAAGTGCTAAGTAGTAGTGGTCCATAGGCAAATGCTTGCTTTCACCCTTCTGACTCAGTAGACAGAATGGTGGGTAGGGGTGGGTGGATGAGCAGTATAACAGTACGTTTCCGAGCACAATTAAATGTGTTGTGCTGACCTTTAAAGCCTAAGTTGCCTCGGCCATGTATTACCTGAAGGCGTCTCCACCCCCATCGTTCTGCCATGAACTGATGGTCCAGCGCTGAGTGGCCTTGGCGGTTCCTCACTGCGGAGCCAAGTTACGGAACGAGTGCAGATGGGCTTTCTCTAGTAGTGCACCACCCTGTGGATACGCCCTTCCCACCAGATGTCAAAGAAAAGACAACTACCAGACTTTTAGAGAATTTTGAAGGCAGTCCTTGTTTAGTGGAAGTTTTAATGTTTATGGTATTGTTTAATATTTTGTGGGAAGGGCCAGTGCTGGGCCAGGAGTGGTGGGCGGGCTATATTTTTTTTATATTTATTTGATTGATTGATGGATTGATTATTGATTGATTTTATATAACACTGGACATGATAGCAGGCCATGCAATGTGGGTGCTCATTGGAAGGCTGTGTTCTTCTCTTATCCCACTTCTCTTCTCCAATAGGGTTCTCGCAAAAGAAACTGTCTGATGCAAAGACATGCAAAGTTTTCAGCTTTATGTATCTGAAGAATGATTTCAGTTTCAGACATCACCCCAAACCATGTTTTCTCCAGCCACAGTTTTTAGAAGCCAGAGGTGTGTGGACCCTTCCAACCGCATGAGGGGACACAATCCGTTTCTGTGGCCCACTTCCTTCTGGGCAGAGATACAATTCAGCTGTGGGCTGTTCATGTCAATATCATCATTCATTCATGGAAGTGCTTCTTGTGAAATATTAGTTGGAAGTGAGGTTAACATATAAACTCGGTAAAACAATTGTCGTCGAAACGCCTCCGTTAAGGCATGTCACTTATGAACAGTTTGAAAACATATGAATTGTTGGGCCCAACGCACACAATGTATTTGCATGGAGGTCTGTTTATAGGCTTCCTATAGGCATCTGGTTGGCTGCTGAGAGTGTAATTATATTATTATTATTATTATTATTATTTATTATTATTATTTTGTGCCCTGCCCATCTGGCGTGGGTCCTCCCAGCCACTCTGGGCGGTTCCCAAGTTTCATTAAGATTAAATTAATTACAGGGTTTAGATGTTTTTAATGTGGGTTGCGTTATCTTTTATTTTGGGGGCGTATAAGAGGGAACTCCTGTTAGTTGTAGTTTGTTTATGCATGTGGGGCGGTGCTGGCTGGTTGGAGAGTGGGTTTGGCGGTTTTCGGTTAGGGGAAGGTGTGCTGAGTTTTTTTGTTTTAGTTGTTTTATTTGACATTGGTGGAGG